CTTGTTCCTCCTCTAGTAATGCTTCGTACCTAGGCACCTTATAAGTGAGTTCTATTAAGTCTCTAAACTCAGTTAAATCAAACTTCTTTCGAAGCCTAAACTCTAAGCCATTTTGAGCCTGTTACGACCCAAACCTGTCCCTATAGGTTTAGCACCGTAACCGGCCAATAATCTGAGATTACCGAAGGCCTGCTTAACAGTAATACAGTAAAACAGAGTACAGGGGCCTAGCGGAAGCCAATACAGTAAATAAATAATGTCCAATAAGCTGTGACAGTCTGTATATCAAAAAGACTTTTTATATATATACACAGTGCAGAATAGTATGTACGACATTTATAATAATTCAGAGCAGGGACCTAATCCCAGATAAACAGTACAGTAACAGTCTATACAGTCTATACAGTTAACAAAACAGTTACAGAGACAGACGGGGGAAATTAAAACACCCCTAAGCCATAGCTTGACAGGCTCGGAACCTCGCGGTGAGGCACAGTGGTTGGCTTGACAAAAAGGGAGTCTAACCCATGCTCCTAGCTCCAGTCCGAAGTCCCAATCCTGGTCATGTGCCTGATCACCTATATACATAACATAAATAGTAGGTTGGAAACCAGTGAATAACAACAAAGTAAAGATTTTATGAATGATGTCCATAACAGATTCAAAAATCAGAATTCAAATTAGAAACGGATTCATATACTCATTCAGACTTGTAAACAGTCATACATAGTATATCCATTAGCGCTAACAGATCAGATTGGTCATAAAGACCTATATACAGAACAAATGGGCATTAAGACCCTCATTTACATGAGATGGTCATAAAGACCCATGTGTAAATCATATAGTTGATTATGCATAATTAGTTTCGTGAATGGAACCCACTTGAAACCCTAGTACCAGATCACATATAACATATCACATGATGTTAAAGATGCCACGATACATTTCAGAAAGCTAGATAATCATTCATGGTTCAACAAATATTATTTCAGAAAACAGAGCTTATCATATCATTTCATTCGAAAATTACTTATAGTCAAACATAACTTTACAAAATTGTTACTCATAGATAGCTCCAGAAACTGAATAGATAACTTAGACAGATCAGACGGATGGTTATGCGTAACCTACACAGACACATAACAAATACACATTGAAACACACACTCCGATAACACTTAACTTATTACATTTCTTTCTTAGTGTGTTTCTAATTCATATCCTCATTAATATGGCCTAAATCATGGCTTAAGAATGCCTAAGATGGAATGGGGATGCAAAAATGCACTTTGAAACACTTTGCAAAATTTCTGAAAACAAGGCAGTTCGCTCGAGCGGTCTACAAAATTTACAAAAGTAATAGGAGTTCTCATTTAGCGCTTGAGCCAACTTCTTAGTCACTCGAGCCAAGGTTCAAAACAAAGGGTGGTCGCTCGAGTGAAGCTTTGGTTGCTCAAGCCAACTACCTCGACTGCAAAAGTACTGACAGCTTACAATGTGCGCTCGAGCGAAGGTTTCATTGTTCAAGCAAACAGTGCAAATTGGGGAATTTCTAGATTTGTTCTACAAGTTCCAAACACAATTTCTTTGCAAAAAAATGCATTCTTTTGGGCCAAAACCTTGGAAAACACTTGGAAACTTGTAGCCAAACATGAAATGAAGCTCAATTTGTAAAATCAAGGCCCAAAGGTGAGGGAATTAAACCCAATTTCAACCAACATTTCAAGAACATGCTGAATGTGTAACATGCATGAATTCAACAACTTCAAAACTTCAAAAGCAAGCTCAATTGAGCCAATTCTTTCCAAAACATGATGAAATCATGGACTATACTAATAATATGAACATGCATGTACCAAATTCCATGTAGTGACCCTCAAAATGCTAGGATATAAGCATGCATGTATGGAATGAGCTTCAATTCAACATATAAGAACCAATTCTAGGCTTAAATCACTACAGGCTCAAGAACCATGCAAGAATCAACTCAAATACACAATCAAGAAGGTAATTACTCTACCTTAAGTCTTCAATGCAAGATACACAAGCTCAATTTGCAATCTATACTTCAATTCTTTCAAGTTTCTAAGCAAATCAACAAGGACAATTCAACTCTCTCACTTTCTCTCTCTCTAGTTCGGTGGTGGTGAGGAAATGAGCTGATGAAATGTTTGTTTGAGTGTATAAAGGCTCAAATATGTTTAGCCTACATGGCCCACTAACAATGGCACTATTGTAAATAAGCCTAACAATGCTATTCAACCTTAATTAATCTAATTTAATCATACCTAATCAGTTTTCAGATAATTACACCATAAAATCACATAAATTCTAATGATCATAAAACATCGATCAATTTCGGATCTGGCCGCCGACAAGGCCTTCAATTCGCAATTTAAACATAAAATATGAACAGATAATCAAACAGTCAAACAGATAGATAATGCATTTAAATAGATACAGTCAATCAATCAGTCTCAGATTTTAGTCAGTCAGTTTAGTATTTCAATCAGTTCAATTAATTTTCATAATCAGTCTCAGTTTAGCAGTAATCGGTAGTTTATCGGTAGATAGTGGTGAGGGTTGTTACAAAGCCAATCTCACGAATTCTGGCTCTGGCAGGATGACTCTACATTTATTTCGAGCCCTTTTAAATCTGGCAATAAACTGAGTAGCCTTCTCATCAGGCCTTTGGCTCAATCTTGCCAAGTCTGCCATGGAAACCTCTGGCTCCGATTGGAAGAATTGGGCATGAAATGCCTCTTCCATTTGTTGCCAAGTTTGGATAGAGCTAGGTATAAAGTTAATATACCATACAAATGCTCCCCCAGTTAGGGAATTTGGGAATAACCTTAACTTCATATAGTCATTATTAGTAAATTCACCGCATTGAACAGCAAACCTAGCAATGTGCTCCACTGTTGATTGGTTTCCATTCCCATAAAAAAGGGCAAAATTTGGTATCCTGAAACCTCTTGCGTATTCATGTACCCTGTCTACCCATTCTGGGTATGGTTTCCTGTATACAGGATTCTGGACCCCCCGAGCCATCGGTCTACACATCTCTCTAACAATATCAGCAATTTGGTCCCTAGGGATCATATTTTGTGCTTGCTGAACCAGTACTGGAGGAACAAACACAAGATTTAGTGGCCAAACTTGTGCCTATGGTCCTCTTGGTCCATAAGGTGATATATTTGGAACTGGTTGTCCCTGTGGTGCAGGTTACTATTGGGGGTGTGGGTAACCCCTATGAGCCTGTCTTGCGAAAAGACCTGCGAAAGGCGCTGGAACTAGTGTTGTGTCTTTTCCATTTGTAAGAAAACCTTCCAATCCCCCGGGTATAAATTCGAATAAGGGATTAGTGAACCCCCTCGTGCCAGGTATGGCTTTGAACATTGGATTTGGAGCCATTCTTATGCCATTTTCTTGTACTGGGCCAGATCTACCAATTTGCATGGCTCTACTGTTAAGCACTGAGGCATTTTAACCTGTTATAGGCCTCGAAATATGTTTGTACCAAGAGTGAGGTGATGGTCTTTCATAGTTTTAATTACTAGTTTGACCATTAGAATGTCCATTAACTTCCATAGGCTGTTTATCTCTAGCCAATCTTTGCTGAGGGACATTTAAAACTTCCTCCATGTGTCTTGCATTTGTTGGTTAGTGGTTATTCATTTGATCCAAAAAGGATGTTGCCCACCTTTCCATCATGTTCATTAACTGCTGTCCCATGGCATCTACTAGGTCACCCCATGAATTTATTGGCTGAGTAGATGGAACAATGGATGGTCCAATTCCTTGGTATCATCCAATATTATGAACATGTGGTACTTGTTCTGAAGTGCTGGTCTATTCAACTATAGGTTCTGATAAAATGGAAGTTTCCACAGGATGTGTTATCACATTATCCTCTGGATTAGATATCTCTACCTCTCCTTCCACGCCTTCTTCCAAGCGTTCATTTTCTCCTTGTCTCCTACGTCTAGCCATTTCAATTAGTCCCACTGGGCGTGCCAAAAATATATGTTGGCTTTTTGGCTTTCGAAGGTTATTTTTGTAATTACGAGCGTGCCAGCAAGGATCAATCAATCCTTACAGAAAATTAATTGCCAACCAATTATCAGACGATTGTGTTTTAGTTCTTTTAGTCTCAATAAAGAGGACTTTTACTGGTGGTTTGATTTAGGAGAATTAAGCAAGATAACGATTAAATGAAGAACAATTGAAGCATTTCATTAAAATGAAAAACTTACAATGATCCAAACTCAGCCTTGTACAGGTTTATAGCAACAATCTACTACTTGAAACTACTCCTATGAACGAAGTGCAGTGCAGGAATTTGAAGTACCGGAATGTAAAGAACAGGAAATGTAAGACTGAAAATGTAAAACTGAGAAGGAAAATAAGTAGAATAAGACTGGTTTTTTGGATCTGAGTCTGGGCCTCTTTTTCTGAGCATTCTCTGCTATTTATACTTCTCAAGGATAACCATCGAACTGCATTTTCAAACGTCGAACTGCTCCTCCATGATCGCTGATCATGTTGCCTTATAATTAGCTCCACTGTGCCATCACTTGCAGTTAGGCTTCCCTCCTAAATTTGAATTTAAATGTGAGTAACTGTTGAAGCTACATCACCTTGCATCTCTTTGTTGACCCACTGCTACTCAGATCTCGTAATAACCAATATTAACTGCCACGTGTACGATCAGAATCGAAGACTTAAATAGTCTTCCTGTAGTACCCTTATTCTGTCACGCGTCGAATTGTAATTGACTTATACAAAATATGTAGCCAACAGGAGTACATTCAAATATGAATTTTGAAGACAAATGATCTCATGCAATTCCTCACTTGATATGTGCTTTGACATGTACATGTTTTTTTGATTTATTTTGCGATTTAATTTTGTGTTTTGAAAATTTATTTTGTTGTTTAACAGATAACAATTTTGCAAACTAGCAAATACATTCGAGATTGGGTTACGCCAATTCAATTAGACCCAAAAACAAAAGCTTGTAAATTGATGACACAAATTATTCCAAGGTAGCATACAATACTAGGCATCTCTTACAACCAAGAACCATAGTACTCGAGGAAAAAAAAAAAAACAGACAAGTTAACAAAAGAAAATGAAAAAAAGCATCATTCATAAGCCTTCAGTATAAGTTACTCCAGTGGACTTCAACCATGACCCTCCTTGTATCAATTGAGCCACAGTAAACTTCGTCGCTTCGGCCGCACTAGTGATGATGTGATACCCAGCCCACTTGACACGCTTTCCAGTACCAGCACCTGGACCATTGTTTATATACTCACCATAGTACAATGTTTTCAAAAACATATCACCACTCCACACTGACCAACCTGTAGAGTCAATATGGTTCCCAATGTATGACTGCATGAAAACAGTCCTCGAGTAGGCCTTCCATGGGCGGCCCAAATATGACTTTATAGACCCTTTAACAGGCTCAAGATCCGAACTGGCTATCACATTGCATTTTTGGATTGAAGTCCCTGTGTTTTGGTTTGGGTCATCTCGGCCTTGGGCTGTGACTGCGTTGAATTGTGAACTCATGGGCTTTCGGGCCACTATTTTACAGTTTTGGAGCACAACCGCGGCATTGCCAAAAATGAAGTCCACTGTACCAGTAATATAACTATCTCTATAAAATTGCCGGTTACTATGAGCATAGAGAGTGTCTTGGTAGGCATCAATCCGACAACGATTTATGACGGATTGATCGGCTCCAACACGTAACGCCACGGCTTGGTGCTTCACCGCCCCAGCCGTGTTTTTGAACCAGATATCTTGGGCCATGAATCCATCACCAACAGCAGCTACATTGGTAGATTATGTAAAATGAGTTATTTTACAGCTCTGGTTTTTCTGAAAGTATCATTCATCTAAATAGAAACCAAAATATTATAGCCCGGTTCATTGAGGTATTGAGATAACATTTTTGGACCAGCACCTCTGGACTTTCTTTTGGGTCATCATTTTGACAGTACATAAGGGCCATAGACATAGAATACTTAATAGAAAACTCTTTGCAAATAATTCATGAGCCTTTTTTCTTTTTTTCTTTTCTTTTTCTTTCCTTTTTGGTAAAATCTAAAATATTTAGAAAAATAAAAAATATGATGATTGTTATATACCACCATACGAATTTTATCTTCCTTTTTTTCACCATTATAATTTTCTAGGTCATGAGATCCTCTATCTCTAAAATAATCTATGTTCTTTTGTGCACAATTAATACAATCTAACTTCTTCAATCATATCTTAAAGTTTTGACATTTTTAGATTTTCACTATATTGTATGGTTGAAACATTACATGTGTTTTTGTGCTTATTGTGTAGATCCATATGCAAAATAAAAGTATGTAGTATTATTAAAATTGAAAATCTTATTCTTCCATAGATTGTTCATTGATCAAAATGATGTGTCAATAATATTTTATTATTAAAAAAAAGAAAACTCATACAAAAACTATCATAAGAATAATACGGCAATGATATTTTCGTAAATAAAACTCATCTTCATACTCTATCATCTTGTATGAAAATTTTCTGTCACTTTTCTATTTATATATCATTATTCAATGGTTTCAACCATTAATGTTTTACCTCTCTCCCTCTTCTCTCTCAAAAAACCTCCTTTCCCGGCCTCTTTTTTGGGCTGGCCGGCCGCCGCCTTTGGCTATGGTGGTCGGCTGGCCTAGCTCGTTTTGGCGGCTGTCATGTTAGTTTTCTCTTTCAATAAACTTGAGTTTTCCATCTTCCCCACCTAGGTGTGTTTTTTTGTTGCTATCCAGGTTGTCATCGGATGTCTTCTTGTGTTTCAACTTTGCCGTTATAGCTGATTCATCAGGGGAGTCCAGGAATTTCATTCGAGCGCTTTTGACGAGTAGGAGCTTGAGGGGTGCACTCTGGTTCGTAGGCGATTCAGTTCTTTCCGGTTTTCACTCGAGCGCTCCTCCTCGAATGAGAGTTTGAGGGGTGAAGACTTGTGTCCCAGCGGGTGGTCGGTGTTTGGTGGGTGTGTGGATCCGCGGTGTGACTTAGAAGACCTGTGAGGTAGAAGTCCTGTTGGCTTTGGAGTGGGCTGCAGCAGAGGCTTTGGAGTGGGTACTGGGTGTGAGCTAAGAAGAAAACCTGATGGGAGATGATCTGTTGGGTGTGTTTGCGGGTGTTGTGATCTGTGGATCTATGGGTGTTGTGCAGGGGAGTTGCAGTAGCTCGAAGTCTTCAACAGGGGTGTTGCTGCAGGGGTGTGTTAGTTCGGTGGGTGTGTGGGTGTTGTAGCAGCTTAGGGGTGGTTGGGAAGTTGGTCAAGGGAGTGATCTTCTCCAGTCAAGGGAGTTTTCTCAGCCTTCGAGCGGGTGGCTATGGAGTTTTCCGGCTAGCGTGCAGCAGGCGTGGAGCAGCGGAGCGTACAGCTGGCGTGCAGCAGGCGTGGGATGGGCATCGTATAGTGTTGTCAGGCGTCGGGTGTGAAAAAGGGTGGCGTTGGGAGTTGTTAGCAGCTTAGGTGTAATGATTTAGTTTTCAAAATAACAGGTGGGCCTTGGCAGAGGCGTGGATGTTGATTAGATGGGTTTTTAGTTCGGGCTGCTTTGGGTGTTGGTTTTGTTATTTTGGTTTGGTTCCGGTGTTTTGGTGAGTTGATTATGTGGAGATTCATGTATTTTAATTTTTCTAGTTAAGTTCTTCTTAACTTTTTTTTAAAAAAAATAAAAAAATCGAGAGGCTTAGGGGTTGGTTGTATGGCTGCGAGTAGCAGTAGTAGGGATATTTTTATGCTGTCGAATCTCTCTCGATGCATGTCATCTTTCTGTACTTTTAATTTCATACTGTTAAATGAAATTTTTCTTTGTTGATCAAAAAAAAAATATATCATTATTCAAAACATCTCAACGAACTTTTGTTTTAAATTGATAAATCCATAATTTTCTCATGCCATTCAGTATATATTTTCTCTGTGTATCTCGGTACCCTTAGGCTGTGCTTGAATCAAGAATTTAGATACGAATTTGAAAAAGGAAATCAAAAAAATGTGTGCAATGTAAATGAAATCTAATTATATTTTACCTACATTTTCTTTTTTTTTTTAGTTTCAAATCTCTACCCAAATCCAACAGTCTTATTGAAAATGCATTGATATGATTTTTATAGTATTGATCTAAAGAGTAATGATACGTACCAACAGTTGCAGAATTGAAAGTTGTAGCTCCATCAACCACATTCAAGCTACCAGTGATAATGGTGGAATCCATGCCATCACCAACAAGCATTAAATTCTTTTTAGTCTTCCCAACCTCCACATTTTCTTTGTAAGTTCCCTTCTTCACATAGATAACATACCGAGTCTTGCTATTAGTTGGTGCAGCTGCCACTGCTTCTTTCACTGTCTTATACTTCCCACTCCCGTCCGCCGCCACCACCACATCGGCTTTCACATTCTTCGGCGCCATCTCCAAAAGCTTCCAGTCGCTGGCGGTCACCCACCGTGGAAAATCCCCGTTAAGCCCCCGGAGGAAGAAAGACGACTCAAACTTATTTGAGACCTAAAACACAAAATTTCAGAGATGTGCTTTAATAAAAGACCATTCAAGATTACTTTAAATTTATTTTTGTTGCTTTTTTATTAGGTTAAATTACAAATATGCCTCTTAAGATTTGATTAAAATATGAATCGCCTCTGTGGCTTGAAAATTACATTCCACTCTCTAAGATTTCTAATTTCATAACAAATCGCATCTTCTATTAATAAATTATTAAGTCAATTAACTGTTTTTAATGATATTAAAAATATATTTCAATTAATAATTTAGGTAATTTTATTATTATATAAGAGAACAATTATGAATTTCATTTTTTCAGTTAATTCTGTTAAATAAAAAATTCTAATAAGAGGATATTTGTAATTTTTCAAATCACAAATAGCAATCTGTATTTTAAACAAATTTCAAGGAGTGTATTTATAATTTATCCTTTTTATTATGACTCATTCAATTAATGTATTTTGTCAATCTTAATATGATTTTATCAACCAAAAAAAAAATTGAATTTTTTTCTACAAAAATAATTAGAGAAATGTTGTTGGGCTGATTGGACCATGTTGAGAAGACAATTTATTTAAAAATCAATTTGATCAATTATAGAAATTATATGATAAGATCATATTTGTCTCATAAAATCAAGGACGGGCATTCTCTCCAGTCGGTGATCTGATTAGAGAGTACTGTTGGGCATGTGAGGGTCCATCACGGATCTCATTTTGATAATCTGAACCGTTCAATATGTAGAACTTGTCAAGTATTATATGTCTGTAAAAAATCAAGTTGATTGGATATCGATAGTTATCCCATTGTATTAGATTTTTGTCAACCGTTTAGTTTTTCACTTTTCATTTTTTTTTATACAAAACTGATTTGATCATGTAGTTATCGATATTTAATCAATTTAAACTTTTACAGACATATAATACTCGACAAGTCTCTAAAATAAAATATTAACTATTTTTAAAATAAATATAATTTAATCATCTAGGGACCGAAGCTCGATCAACTTAATATTTTGCCTAAACGCTCTTGTCCATATACTTACAAAATGAAGTGTTGGATCATTCAAAATGGATCTTGGAGTAGGCTGGAAAGTGATCCAAAATAGGTCAACCATTTTTTAAACTACAATGTTCTAAGTGATTTTAATTTTTTGAAATATTAAGAAAAAAAAAAATCATGTAAACCCTCCAAAGGAGAGGGATTTTTTTTTTTTTTTTTTTTTGAAGAATTTCCCCTTAGAGAGAGGGGTGAGTCGAGGGGAGTCCCCCCGCTTGACCAATTCGGAATTGGAAGTAATCTCTCATCTGATGACCATGAATAAGAAAAGGGTAAATTACAATGACAATCTTGGAGGTTTGATTCAATTATTGCTTATCCTCTGACGTTTTAGAAATTATATTGTTATTCCCATGATTAATAGTTTCATTTCACAAAACTCCTACTTATATAAAAGGTAACAACTTCTACAAGAAAAACAGAGAAAATTACATTTAAAAAAAAAAGTAAAGAAAAGGAAAAAAAAAAAAAAAGCAAAACAAAGTAAAAAAAGAAAAGAAAAGAGAGTGCATGAGTTCAATGTCTTCATTCCGTCTAAATAATTATAATGACAGGGAGGTAGTGTAATTTTCTAAACGTCAAAGAGTGATATGTATTAAACTCAAACCTTAAGGGACATAAATGTAATTTACTCATAAGAAAAAGAACTACTCTCTTTATGTGAGATCAACAATAAAAGAAAAAAGAGAAATTAGATGCCGTAGAGCAAAGACCAGTCCTTATGAGTGTAAAAATAGTTTGCGGTCCAGGATAAGCCAGGTCCAAGTCCATCTTAGGAGTGTAAAAATAGTCTGCAGTCCGGGATAAGCCCAATCCAAGTCCAACCTGGGATCTTGGGCATAGACCTAGGCCATCATTTTGAAGTTCAGGCCAGCTCGTGACCCGATCCATCGGCTCGCTCAAAGCCCATTTAAAGTTCGATCCACCAGAGGTCCAATATTATTTTTTGTAGAAAAAAATAAAATTTTAGCAAAAAAAATTTTAAAAAAAATGTTCTAGTCCTACCTAAACCTGAGCCCAAACCCACCTACCAGACCCTCCCAAGACCTAAATATTCCTAGACTTAGGCTTAATTTTCTAGCCAATGGATCAGACTAAACCGATCCAAATTTTGACGAGACCCCGCAAAACCCAACATGAGCCCAACCAAACCAGACCAAATTTACATCCCTACCTGCCCGTTCAAATCAACTTTCAATTGACTACTTTACCTTTTCACCAATTTTTTTTTTGACTTTCTATATGATAGGTACATTCTATAATAATAACATCGTATAAAAAATAAATTCAAATTTTTTTTAAAAACAAATAATAAAAAAATAGGCCCAAGTCCCCTACTGACCTGATCATCTTCCAGTGGTGATTCTGCAACCACCATGGCTAAGGAAGCTCTAGCTCTTGCCACCATGTCTTCGAGCTCAGGCTCCATCATGGAACGGACCGACCCGGTTAACCCGTCTAGGCAAGTAACATGGTTGGTGAGAACACTACTGAGCCATGAATGGGCATCCGAATGTGACTCGGCTGTCCTTTTCTCAATTGCCACCATAGAGTCCATCACTCTATCCATTGACAGCTCCATCAACTCCAGGCAATCTGCTAGAGCCCCTTGCTCTCTCGGGTCGTTGATCCGACGGCTGATATCACTTGCCGTCACCATAGATTTTCTTATGCCTGACGCAGACTTCTTCAAGAAGGCCTGCAATAAATCAGGACCGTTCATTTGCATCAAAGCTTCAGGTGGAGCAAGTTCTGATACCATGGCGGAGCATGAGGCCCGATCAAGAGCCCGATCACAAAGGGTCGATGAGAGAGAAGAGGTTTCATTGAAGAACTTGGTGGTGAATATGGTGATTGGGGTTATGATGGCAACTAGAGAGAGAACCAAAGAGAGAGATTTGCAGAGAGAGAGTTTTCTCTTGGGAGAGTCTAACAATGGTTGATTAGCAGAGGTTGCCATGATGGTAGTGGAAGTGCGTTTGCTCTTCTGTGAATTTCTCTTGTTATGGTGTCCTTAAATAAACTTTAGGAAGTGGATTGGAGAACTTTTTTTTAGTTAAAATAGTTTATGAAAATAAAATAAATTTAAATTGTTAATAAGATAAAATTTAAATGATAATTATTTTACTTTTTTTCTATCACAATCATCAAATTATTTATGGAAAAAGAAAGGAGAAAAAACAAAAAAAAAGTTAACTATTACCTCAAACATAACATTTTTAGTAAGGCTAAAATAACTTTAAAAAATCAACTTAAGGCCTGGTTTGGGAGCATGTTTTTTTAGTAATTTTTTGATTAAAATGTGATGTAAAAAAAATAATATGTTTGAGATGACTTTTTTGATTTTTTACGAAAAAATGTGTAAAAAATAGAGAGAAAATAAAATTTTTGACTTTTGAGTATAAGTTGTTGACTTTTAATTTTTTTTTAGTGACTTTTTAATTTTTTTGACTATCAAAATCACTTGCCAAACAAGACCTAAATAGCCAGGGTACCCAACCAGCCCGAAAACACCGTTTGTTTCAATTATTGTAGTTTAAAAACAAATATTGACTTTTTTTCGTTTTACAATTTATTTTTATTTTCAGGGTCCTCTACCCACTACAATTAATATAAAGATTTTTAGAGATCAATTTTTTTTGAAAAATTTATGGTACACACGGACTCAAAGGCACTATATGCACTTTGTAACTTAAAAAAAAAATACATAATTTCATATTTTTTGAGTTATAAAAAAATATATTACAAAAAAACCCAACATATGAGACACAAGCAAAAATCTCATGAATCATAACTAAACTATGCCCAAAGATCCTCTATCCCCAAAAATTTCTGGCCTCATGTCCCAAATCACTAATAACTATTGGATATGTTTTGGGATTCTCAAATCTTAGGATTCTTAAATGATCTAATGGTTGTGAATGATTTGGGATAGGGGAACAGGAATTTTTAAGGACAGAGGATCATTGCTCCTAAACTAAGGTCATAACAAAAGAAGAAAATTAATTATTACTAAAACAAATTGATTTAACTTAAGGATGCATATGGTATTGGAAGTATATAGTAGAATTTTTCCAAATTTTTTCAAAAATTTTTGTTTCAATTTTTAGACCAATTCTAGTGGCGGTGTGAATTTTTTAAGAAGATAAAATCAAAAACAAAAAACCTTTAGTAACAAATTTTTGAAAATATTACTAATATATGTGTTTTTGAGGACAGAATAATGTTGAGTTAGAAGGCTTACTTTTTAAGATGGAAATTTTGGTACCCAAATCTTATTATCCAATTTTGTCTCAAAATATAAAATATTAAGGAATGGCTTCCTCCAGTCCAATCATGGACGGGAGAGTATTATCGAACCTGTAGGGGGCTCATCACGGGTCTTGTTTCGATAATTTGAACCGTTCAATGTGTAGAATTCATTGAATACTATATATCTTAAAAAAAATGGCGCTGATCAGATATCGATAGCTATGTAATCAAATCAGCTTTGTATGAAAAAAAAATAGACGGTGAAAAATAAACGGCTTACAAAAATCTGATTTGATCACATAGCTATCGATATTCGATCAACGTAATTTTTTTATAGCCATATAGTACTCGACGAGTTCTATACATTAAACAGTTCGGATTATTGAAATGGGACCCGTGATGGGCTCCCACTGGCCCAACAGTACCTTCCAGTTCAATCACGGACCAGAGGAAAGCCATTCCCAAATATTAATACTTTGGGCAATTGATATTTTATTTTTAAAAAGTGATTTTATTCCTAATTTTTTTTATTTTTAAAATGTTAATTTGTTGTAGTCAACTTAAAAATAAAAATAAAATAAAAACAAAGCAAAACAAAATTGACCAAATTTAAAAAAAAATTAAATAAAAAATTAAATTTGAAAATAAGTTGTTAAAAATCTAAACCAAACAAAAATAATAACTTGTAGAAAAGCCTTGTTTGGGATGTAAGTTGGTTTTTTGACTACTTTAATTTAGGGTTAAAAAAGTCTCATTTGAGATAAATTTTTTGAATTTTTTTTATTTTTATAAAAAAAATAAAATGATTATGATTTGAATATAATATTTTGTCTTATTGGTGTTTTTATCTATTTTGTTGTTTATAATTATTTTAACTAAAAACCCTCAAACTTTTTCATGCCAAACGAGCACAAGGTGATTTTCATAAGTTAAAATATCCAGAACTATCTAACCCTTACATAAACAACAATCATGAGACGTGTGTAAACAAAATGCTTAGAAAATGAAATGTGTAGATAAAATTTCTTTTTAATATGACTCAATTAGATCAAATCTAAATTCCATCATACATTTTATTCAGGATATATTTTTTAATATCTTTGTTAGGTGCATAGTTTTTGCTTTTTTTTTCTTTAGGCCTCGTTTGGAAACATTCTATTTTAATAATTTTTCAATTTTTTATAAAAAAAATATACAAAAAAATTAAGAGAGTTATGTGATAATTTATAATAATTTTTTAATTTTTTAACTAAAATATATAATTCACAAATAAAATTTTAATAAACGGTTCTGATTCGTAGCTCGAAAGTTGTGGCTCGACTGTGGCTTGAGGGGTCAAAACGACGTCATTTTGACCCTCTTTTTTTTTTTTCCTTTTCTTTTTCTTATTTTCAACTCCATCTTCTTCATCTTCTCTATATCTTTTTTTTTTTTGCAGAAGAAGAACAAAGACCAGGAAGAAGAACGAAGAAAGGAGGAGGACTGGAGGGAGCATAATATTCAGGGGAGGAGGAGGCGGAGGCAGGGCGACGGCGGTCGGAGGCAGAGGCGGAGGCGGGGCTGGGCTGGGCGACGATCGTCTTCCCTCTCTCTCTCTCTCTTCCCCTCTGCTTCTCTCTTTCTCTCCCTCTCCCTCTCTTCCTCTTTTCTCCTTCTCTCTCTCTTTTCTGTTTCGAGCCAAATTCGAGCTCCGAATTTCGAGCTACCGCTCATTTTTCTTTAATAAAAGGTATATATATTAGGATTAGATACAACAATAATGTGTGGATATAAAAACGAAAAATGTTTGAGGGCCACAATTTTTGTGGCTTAAATGGGTCGTTTTGACAATTTCGACCCATTTAAGCCACAAAAATTGTGGCCCTCAACCATTGCTGTATAAAAACGTACATATAGAAAGATTGGTAGCTCGAATACCGTGGCTCGAAAATTGCTCAACCTTCTACATACACCCACATATCTTTGTACACCTTTGACTGAGAGAGAAAGGAGAGAAAAAGACCAAAAACAGAGGCCATTCCTTCGTCTCCCTCTCTCTTCCTTTGCAAATTAAATGATCTGAATTTGCACGATTCGGACGGCACCGGCGAGCTCGCTAACAAATGATTGGTGGCTGGATCGCTCCCGGCAATCAACCCTCCACCACCGCCTCCTCCTGTGAAGATTCCCTACATACGTTTCAAGTAGAGGACAAGGGGATTTGAACTGAGTGAGGAGGTGGTGGCTGTGATGGTGATGTTTGAGAGTGGTGGGTTTTCGTACAAATTTCTTTCTGGGTTTGATTTTGGTGCTCTCTCTTTATAAGTTCAAGATCTATGGGGTTTGTAATTGATGAATAAAACAAGAACAAGAAAAATGGGTGATTTCGGTGCTCTCTCTCAGAAAAAGTGCAGCTCTTTCTGGTTTGATTTTGGTGCTCTCTCTTTATGAATTCAAGATCTGTGGGGTTTGTAATTGATGGATAAAACAAGAATAAGAAAAATGAGTGATTTTGGTGTTCTCTCTCTCAGAAAAAGTGCAGCTTTTTCTGGGTTTGCAATTGATTTTGGTGCTCTTTGTGGGGTTTGTAATTGATGAATAAAATAAGAACAAGAAAAATGGGTGATTTTGGTGCTCTCTCTCTTAGAAAAACTGTAGCTTTTTCTGGATTTGATTTTGGTGCTCTCTCTCTCAGTCATTCACACACACACACTCTCTCTAGGAAGATGAGAGAGAGCTGATAGAAAACAAAGTAAAAGAGAGGTAATTTGATGTTGATGAAGATGTTGTTGTTGATGAGATGCTGTGTTGATGAAGAGGTTGTTGTTGAAGATGACTAGCTTCTTCTTCTTCCTTCTTCTCTCTTCTTCTTCTTCTTCAGATCTTCATCTTCTTCAGATCTTCAAAAAACGAGAAAAGAAAAAAAAAACAAAACAAAACAAAACGACGTCGTTTTGATTTTCGGGGCAATCGAGCCATGCGAATTTCGAGCTACATAGCGGGATTGTATAGAATATTAGCATGCAGCTTTCACGCGTCGTATCATATTTTGATGCTCTTCCGTCGTTTAATAATGAGTCCCATTTGTGGGTGATTAGTCCATATTTTGAACGTATGAACACTTGATTTTTCATAAGATTTTAATTGGCAGGAAGTAGTAGGAATCTACAATTTATATCAGGAATGGAGGAATAATATAAAGTTAAGTAGTTAATGATTAGTTTAGAATATGATTACGTAGTGTTCCAAGATTATTGAATAATTTTCCCTTATTTGTTGAGGCCAAACAGCCCTTTAATTTATGTCATAAATAAATTAATGGAAGTTTAACTCATACTCATAAAAGACACAACCATGTTTCAAGGCCAATTGCCTGGGTGAAGGGTTTGACTAGTAAGAGCATCTCCAACGGTGACTCAAATTTTTCACCAAATTTGAGTCAAAAATGACCCATTTCACCAAATTTGATACCACTCGCTCCAACGGTTCACCTTTCACCAAAATCTATCCCGGGACAACCGGGTGGTCGACCGGCCGGTTGACCGGTTAGGCAAAATTTTTTTTTTTTTTTTTTTTCGAATTGTCTGAACTTTTTTTTGAACTTTCTGAACTTTTTCGGGACGACCGGGGGAAAAAAAAAAAAAAAAAAAAAAATCAAAACGACGTCGTTTTGATTTTCGGGGCAATCGAGCCATGCGAATTTTGAGCTACATAGCAGGATTGTATACAATATTAGCATGCAACTTTCACGCGTCGTATCATATTTTGATGCTCTTC